GCTGTGTGTGTTTGGAGCGTGGCTTGAAGGTATCGATGGAACTTAACGTCATTTTCACACATGCAGTTGGTATCTTAAAAACAAAACTAGCAACCAATAGTTTAAGGACAGCTTTCACCACAAAAGCAGAAAAGGAAACCAAAATTTACTCTCAAGGCATTTTTTCCTTGTGCATCAGGCTGTCGTTAGCCTCAACAGGATTGTGCCATACTCATATGGCAAGATACGTTTGCTTCCAGCTGAACTTATAGTGAGTTTTCTTTCCTGTTATGAAATATTTAATTGGGATTAAGACCAATAAAAGGTCTGATTTCCTTTCAGAGCAGTATTAGAACAGTTTCAGGGCTTTCTTACTCTCCTGGATGGCTTCTGTCAACTCTAGGAAGCTGCTGCAGTAGTACAAGGACTAGAGGAAATGACCTCAAGTTGTGCCAGGGAGAAGGTTTAGGTTGGCTATTAGGGAAAATTTCTTCATGGAAGGGGTGGCCAAACATTGGAAGGGACAATGGTGCAGTTACCATCCCTGGAAGTGTTCAAAGTACATGTAGATGTGGTACTTGGGGGCACTTGGTTTAGTGGTGGCCTTGGCAGTGCTGAGTTAGTGGTTGGACTAAATGGTCGTAGATTTTCCAACCTGAACGAGTCTATAATTGTGATGTCTTTATATGACTTGGTTCTGGCAGAGACATTCCCTCTGTATCCAAGCTGTTAATCCTCCTTTTGCAAGCTGTAGGGCAGGAGTGTGAACACTGGTCTCACCTCCCAGATAAGTGATCTGCTCAGCTAGGCAGATAGTCTGAATTGTGGTCAATTAATTAACTATTCATTGGAATAAATGCTGCAGTCCCAGGCTGCCTCTGCTCAGACAAGTACCTGAACAGTGATTACAGCCTCAGCTGCTGTCGCTGCTCGATGAAGGATGTTTAGTTTTCAACACCTGTTTTAGTCACTGAATCCATTAAGTGCTGCTGATGGAAAGTAATTTCTTGCTGAAGTGTTTTGCTGGATGAGACTCTAAAGACAAAAGGGTGTAGTTCAGTCAGGCCTTGTGTGGGTTGCAGTTTCAACGGTGGAGGGAGAAGGCTCTTAATGCAGGTAATTAGGGAGTTGTTGAAGAAGAAAACAGCAACTTACAGGGAAGTCAGCTGGGAGGAGGTAGAAGTCACACACTTATTCAACTGGGAGTTGTCAGAGAGAACCACTGGGAAGCGTGTGGGATGTTCCCAAAGAGATGGTTCAGTTGCCCTTTGAGCAGGTTATGTATGGCCACAAAAAGTGAATAATGGAGTTATGCCAAACTCATATCTGTGTTGAATGTGAGAGTTTTCAGTGAGTCCAGAGCTGTAGCTTAAGCTCAGCACTGCTGAGAGAGCAAAGAGCTGTCTTTGAGCAATATTTAATTTGCTCCTGCAGAACTTTGGTGGATTAACGACACCAAACATCTACATCCTTGTCGATGTAGTCCCAGTATTTAGTCACATGGTTGGTGTGTACTCTTGTGCTTATGTACGTTTTTAGTAAGCTAGAGGGAGGGAGAATTGAAAAATACATGGAGTACATGTGGTGGTATTTTTTGTGGGTCAGGATTAGGGTGTTTTACTACTTTGGTGTAACTTTGTTTTATCCTTGTATAGAAGCCAAATGCTATTGCCAGCCATGGCCTGCAGATGACTTGCTTTATCTGGAGCAATTCACAACAAATTGTGCTCTGCTTGATCCAAATGATGGATGTTGTTGAGAAGAAATTCTCTTCCAGTATGGCTGTTATGTATGAACCTCTTCACCTTGGTCATGAAAAGACAACACATAAAATGGCACATGTAAGATTTTTGCTGTCAGTGCAGAGGGCAGAACCCTGACAGGTTTGTAGGGGTTGTCTGTCCACATGAGAAATTTTATAAGACCTTTTCGTGGCTGAGCTCAGTTCTGTGGCGTGCAAAGAGCTTTCACCTCCCACCCTGAAAATGGTGTAATATTAACCAGCTTTAGGGTTGGTCTGTGTTGTTTGGAGCAGCCCTCAAACACAACCTGCCATTTCCCTATTTCACCTGCCAACTGTACCTCATAAATTCCCTTTGGATGACTGGATTCCTTGTAATTAGCAGGGCAATGTTATGGATAAAGGGTTTTGGCATGGGTGAAATTCTCACCTTCATCGCTGGGTTGGCTGAAGCCAAGGGAAACCTGTTGAAATAGGAGTGAGTGTACTGATTGTTTTTGCATGGAACTTGCACATGATAAGTGGATAAATACATCAAATGCTTATTTTAAAATACAAGTCTCATTTAAAAATCTGAAAGCCTAACAAAAATATTTGTCAGAGTGTTAGCATATACCTTTTGCAATTATCCTTATAACCCCATGGCAGGGGGTGGAACTAGATGATTTTTAAGGTTCTTTCCAACTCAAATCATTTTGTGATTCTATAAACATGGTCCCAGCTGCATGTGGGCAGTCCAGGCTGGCACAGTCCTGGGGTTTCTGCCTCCTCAGTCCCCTCCCAGCCTGTGCCAGTCCAGCCTGCTTGGCTGGAATGGGAGGAAGGGTAGGCAAATCCGTGTTTGTAAAGCAGTGAGGGAAATGCCTCTGCATCAAAGTTGTTTGGAAATGAAAGAGTTTGGGTATCTCAGAAATAAGCATAATTTTATCCAAGCAAAACATTCTTAGGTCCTGTATAATATTGCATATAGGATTAGACTGTCCTAGTGAATATTATAAAGGTCTGTTTCAACTTAGAGTGTTCCAGTCTTCTCTGCTCTGGATGTATTCCTTGGAGAGCACACAGGGAATGGGATAAAATACCCTGATGTGTTATCCCCTAGACTGGGAGTTGCATATCCCACGGCCCTGTGGCACCACAGTTTCATCCAGGGAGGTTTGCCCAACTTCTCAGCGAATTCAAAAGGTGTTTGTAATGTCACACACAGTGGTCACCTTGTTCCCATGCACCACACTGTCAGCTCTGAGCGAGACAGTCCCTGCTCTCCCACACTCCTCGTGTGTCACAGCTCCGAGCGCTCTGGCACGGGCAGAGGTGGCACTGGGATCATCTTGGGCTGTGCCTGCTCTGAGTCTGGGGTGGAGGAAGGCCCAGTGGGCATTAATTTGTGAAGCATTTTACCTTTTAGTTCGAATTCTGGAGGTGTGAGTGGTGCAGGATAGGGCTGTGTGCTCTGGACCTCAGTGTTGTCTCTTTTCAGTGCTGTGTCCCAACCCAGAGTGGTGTTGGCATCAGTTTCCCTTCCCTGCTGGACCTGCCCCAGGCACAGCGTGGGAGGAGCACTAAGCAGCTTTCTAAGTTTTCTGCAGCAGTTGTAATTTTGAAACTTCTTAATTACTATGATTGCTGCGAAAACAGTTTATTTTCTGCTTTGATTTCTCTTTCCTGGTGCTGGTATGATTCACTCTTGGGAGATTTGGAAAACACCTTCAGGCTTCCTAAACTTGTGCAACAGTTTACAGGAAACCTGACCTACTTCAGAGCTGCTCTCACCCAGCTCAGAACGGCTCTGAGACTGAACTGCAGCAACATCAACTTCCCCACGGGGTGAAGTAACAAATTACCCAAACCTTAGGGTAGATGCAGTGGGAATTTTGCTTGCTTGGCTAAGACCTGGATGTGGAGCCTCGAGGCAATGTGTGATTTGTTAGAGCTGGTGGTGGCTCAGCAGCTGGAGGACAGTGTCTGCACCTGCTTTTGGACAGTGCTGGGGAAAAAGGTGAAAAAATCTGTTTCAAAATGGACACAGCTGCTGCCACTTGTGGGTTTCTGTAGTGCAAAAAGGCACATTTCATTTGTCATTCAGCAAAGGGCAGATGTTCCATGTGGACACATGGGGGTGATTGCAGAGCTGTTGGATGTGACCCTGTAGGGTTGGTGAGCAGCTCCTCTGCCCTTGCATCTCTGACATTTAGCAAAATACACATTTTCTTCCCCTGGTGAAACAAAAAGTGTTGAAGTTGTACCTTGGTTTGCACCATCTGACCTTGGTATGTAATGTGAAAGACCAATAGTAAGAGAGTGTCTGTGGAACAGGGACATCCAGGAAGACTTCATCCAGTTTAGATTTTGTAGCCTGTTCTGCTGCACCTAGAGAAAATAATTCCCTCAGACCTGCAAAGAGGAGATTGAGAAAAAACAAACCCTTGGAACAGAGAGTGACAGATTGCTACTGCTGTGTATGTGCAAATCCCTGGGTTTAAAACATCTCCAGTTGATTGCAGCCAGTGGATCCCAATATTTACAGCCAATGGCTAGTCAGGTTACTTTGGGAATCCACATAAACCTCAGCTCTGCCAGGAAAGGTTTTTGGGACTGAAGTGCAGTAATCACTGAACCTCTGTTTTCTTCCTTGCAGGGCACAATTCGAAGGATCATTATTGAGAATCCTGATCAGGTAGGAAAACTGTTCAGTGCTGGAGTTGCCTTAGTTCTCCTGGTCCCATAAAGTGCCTCCATTGGGGGATGCTAAGGGCTTTGGAATCACACTGCTCACCCCTCTGATGGGGAGATATGGGATTATTAGGGGCTGAAAACACTACAGAGTGGCTGGTCAGGCTCAGCAGTGAAGTCTCTAGTGAGATTAAGTTTAATTACTAACTGTTTCTACTGTATTTATATCACATACTCCTGATGGAAGCACAGCCAAATGGACACACACTCCAATGTACATGTCCTAAAGAACTATCTCACAGCATATGTGTCTTCATATTACAAAAATCCCTTATCTCTGTTTAGTCAAAACTGCTAATGCTGAATTTGCTGCATGCCCACACTGATGGATGTTCCTGTGTCCACGTTTTACAGGAGCCACTATCCCCTTTCCTTAGAGGGGGAAATTTCTGCCCTGGAAATAATGTCATCTATGAGAAGACAATAAGAAAATATGAGCTACTAAATCCCCTCCAAGTAAGTTCATTGTTTATATTATCTATTGCAGAAAGAAAGTTGAGATGATAGCAGGAAATTAATATTTCTGGGTTGGTTTCGTTCTGGGTTTATGTTTGGGGTTTTTTGTTGGGAACAACTGCCAACCTGAGAATTGCCTTGCTGTGACCTAGGACTCATTCAGAGCAGAAGGTGGAAGTGTTGCTGTATTTTTTCCTAAGAACTTGTTGTTTCAGACTGATGATGTTGTTTCAGACTGCTGTTGTATCTCCAGCACTGTCAGTCTGTATCTGAATAGTGACTGAGAACTAGTTGCCTGCAGTAGCTCCACAACAGAACAACTATGATAAGTTTTTACAAAAAAAAACCCAACAAAAGAATTGAACAGGCAATTTGTTTTCTTTTAACTCATTATTGAACAAACACACCTGACAAAGCTGTGTGAAATTTCAGCTTAGAATTGGTGCTTTGTCAATAGCAAAAATATTGCTCCTTTTTATTACCCTGAAATATTTCCAAGAGGAAAAAAAATCAAATTGAGGCTATTTAAGAGTGATTTATCTGGGTTTTTTTCTTTTGAAAATTGAAGTTTTCCTGCCACTCTGGATTTTACATAGATGAACTGGTGTGATATCCATTCTCTGGAGTGGAAAAGGGGGAAAAAAAGAAGTAGTATAAATAATACAGAGGATGTGCAAAGAAAATATTAAAAAAAAAATGTGGAGTCTAGTCCTGGCAACCATATTTCTACTTCTGCTTATTGTTACTCAGGGTATATCTAGATTTAGGTCAAATCAGTAGTTGCGAAGGAGATTTCTGTGTGCAGTGGGAATACACCTGGGGAGAGGTGTCTGTGAGACATGAGCAGCTGGTGAATTACAGCCTTGAAGTATGAAAGTGTGAGAAAAATTCAAGTTTAATTAGGGGGAAAAAAAGCCATTTTATTAGGATTATTAAGACACCTGAACCCATTGTCAGTATTCCCATGCACAAACCCATGTCCTTCGCTTAGACACCAAACTCTCACCTCACTGAGGTGTGTCCAACAGCCTAACAAAGTGCCTTTTTGTCCCAGGAGAAGCAGTTCCAGCTGTCCCACGTGTGCCAGCAGGACCAGTGCCATGCTCAGCCCTGCACACACGCTGAGCAGACCCAGGTCACCCAGCAGTGCCAGCAGACACAGACCAGTAGCCCATGTGAGGTGTTCCCGGTGTCGGGGAGTGATGACTGCAGAGGTCACACCGTGAGGAGGGTGATGGTGCAAACCTGTGAGCCGGTGAGGAACCTCTGCTGCATGTCCTACTGCTCACAGCCTCCTGGGGGGTGTGCACAGGGCACAGCTTTGGGCAGCTGCAGCTTTGTGGAGCTGCAGTCTCCAAAGGTTTTGTTCAGATGCTTTGTAGGGTAATGAAGCATCACACACTTGGAAGTAGAATCATAGAGTCATAGAATCAACAGGGTTGGAAGAGACCTCCAAAATCACCAAGTCCAACCCTACCATGGTCACTAGACCATGGCACTAAGTGCCACATCCAGTCTCATCCCTGGAGGATGGTGAATCCACCACCTCCCTGGGCAGCACATTCCAATGCCTGAGCACTCTCTCTGTAAAAAATCTCTTCCTAATATCCAACCTAACCCTTCCCTGGCAGAGCTTGAGTCTGTGCCCCCGTAAAGTAAAGTAAAGTAAACAGCAGAGTCTGTGTCTGTCGCAGGTAACTTATTTGTGTGCTGACTGCACATGGCCTGGAACTGTCCAAGGCTTTGTCACATGTTGTTGCAGGGGGAAAAAGGATGTTTGAGATGCTGAATCCTAGTTTTCATTGGCATGGAGGTGTGTTTAGGTGTACTGACTGAGCACCATTCTGTGTCCTGTAACTGTGCCAAATCTTGCTGGTTTGTTTGGGTTTCTTTATGTATCTGGGAGTGTTACCTGTGGACTGAGTCAGGTTTCACCTGTCACTGTGTCCAATGAGGATGGGGTGATGTGTGGCTTCTGCCTCTAGCTGTGGAGGAAAGACACTCTGCTTTAGAACCTCAACAAGCATCACTTCAGGATTGCTTTCCTCCTACACTGATCAACATGGGCTTCAAATACATTTCAGTTTGATGCAGAATATTTGACACAGGTTCACTGGAAGCACAAAAGGAGCTTCCTTTGCACTTTGTTTTACAGCAGGCTGGAAATCTGGAGCTCCTGAGGGGGAAATCTGGAGCTCCTGAGGACTGCAGGAGGCTTGTTGCACCTGTACCCTGTCAGTGCAGCTGGAGGAGTGCAGCAGTCCCTCCTGTGCCCTCAGTCCACTGTGAGACCTATGCGGAAGCTTCCGTAGGCAGACGCTCCCATAAACCAGCCTGGGCACAACTGGCTTGGGCTGCCCCTGGAATTCATCTGTTGCTCACACAGGGAAATGTTTGAACTGTGCAGTGCCAGTGGCACTGCTGTAGTGGGGGATCCTGCACCTGCCTTGGGTGCTGCCCATGGGTGTTTTCTCACCTCAGCAGGTGTCTGACTGAGATTCCCTAGTCCTCAGCACTTCCCATATTGGCATCCTGATGATGGCATTGCTGTGAAAGAGAGCACATTGCCTATTTCTTGTTGTTATAAAGGAAATCATTCACTCCTTTATAGTTTACTGAAATCCAGGAGACACCACCAAGGAAGAGCACAGTGTAAACAAATTGCAAATCAGTAAGAGGAAATGAACCCAAATCCATTGTACCTGTAGCATTTTCCTCTTCAGCTCTCATCCCAAAGAAGCTGAGAACTCCACCCTGATCCTGCTGCCTGTCTCCTGCCAGGTGAGCTGCTCCCAGGAGAGCCCTGACCAGCTGGACTGCCGTTACTTCGGGGAGCTGCTGGCTGAGCTGCACCGCAAGAGCAACGACCTGTACACCTGCCTGCTGCAGCACGTGGAGAAGATAGGAGGAAGGTACTGGGTCTGTGTTGTCATCCCTGTATCCCAGAACTTCTTGCACTGCACAGCTGAGAGCACAGGATTGTTTGCGAGCTGGTCGTACTCTTTTCTTCCCTGACAGTTAGAGCTGACTTGGATATTTGACACATTCATCTAATTTGCAGAGTGAGGACATGGAATGTTTTAAGCCAAGGGAATGTATTGAGTTCAGTACTTCTTCAAATTAAGTGAGAATTGTGGATCCCACACCTGTTTCCACATAGAGCAAACAAGCGCAGCATACTCTGATGTGTCCTTAGTGATACAGCTCTGTTGCTGTGTCCTGAAAGAACAGCCCCAATGTCCAGATTTTCTGTCCTGTTGTGATGTTGTCATGGGTTAAAACACAGCCACCATCAGGCATAAAGCTCAGGCTCTACATGCAAGTGAACTTTCAGCATACATTCTGCAGAGCTCTGCAGATTGTCTGTGGGAAGAAATGCAGAGCCACAACCCTCCCACCTTTCCCTCCCAAGCTATTTTGTTCTTCCCCCTCACTCCCAGTCTTGTTTGGTGCTTTCCAAGATCACTGAAATAAGGAAAATGGTCCCACAGCAGGGGAAAAGGGGAATTTAACCATCACAGAAGCCCTGACACTGCCAAGCAAACACTCGGGGCATGTCAGAGTGTTGCAGCAGAGTTGTGGGCAAACCATGACCCAGGCAATTAAGTAATTGGGTTAACCAGCCATAATTGGGGTAACTGCCCCAAGAAATGGAGATAGCCAGGCTGTGTTAGCTGTGCTGCTGTTAGCACTCAGGTCTCCTCAGGGATCCCTCTGTGCACTGGTGTTTGACAGGTCCTGGTGCCTCAGGAGGGAGGTATCAGCTCTTCAGCTGGTAAAGATAAAGACCTTCCTTGTTCCCTCTTGTAAGGATAATCCCTTAGTGGTGAATGTGGGCATGAGTGCTTGAAGCAGCTTTCTGCTAACTGCTCCCTTGGATTTTGTGTTTTGCAGGAACCATGACGTCGAGTTTACGTGCCAGGTAAGCACCAGGCTGTGCCCTGATGTCAGTGCTAGCTCCAGTGTGGGGGCTCCAAACCAGCTCAGGTGGAGGAGGATGCTCTTAGTTAATGGTTTCTGCTTGGTAATAGCATTCACAGCCTGAAACCTCTGCCAGGCAAGTATTTGCAAATGTGGTAATACTGAAAGGAAACTTGATTTGCATTATTCCAGTATGAGAGTCAAATTTGGGAAGTCTTTCCTGCTGTGCCAATCATGGTTTCATTGGAAAACAACTTGCACAGCTACCTTGTGTTGTCACAGTGTGTCTTTGCAAAGGATCCTCCACTCTCCTGCCATAAAGCTGCTGTTGTGTGCTGCAGGAGGGAGGAACTCTGCCTCTCTGAGGAACGTGAGCTGACACACCACAGCTCCTAGGGCTGCAGAAAGCTCACTCTAGTCACTTGGGCTGTGATAGAATCATCAGCACCTGTTACCTTTAAAGGCATTTTGTGTGTGGGGCAGAAATACTTGTCCAGGGTTGCACTGCAGGAAGCAATGCCAAGGCCACTGAATCACTGGCAGCAGCTCCTGTTGGTTGCCTTGTGTTTATTGTCTGTTCACTGGGCAGAAACAGGAGGTTTCCCTCACCATGAACTGGGAGTTATTTGAGTTCCAGCTGTTGCTTCTTGAGAGAGGACTGGTTTGAATGCTGCTTTTAAAATAAAGGGTAAGCTTAAGGATTTGAATGTAAGCTTCATGTATCACTTCATCTCAGTTTGCGTGTGCCCTACGTATAAAAGACTTTGGAAGTTTTCTGGATACACTTTGATCTATTTTCGCTCTTATTTGCCTTGTACTAAACATGTTTTTCACAGCAGAGACATGTAATTAATGAAGAAACCACTGACTATCTACCAGGCAAAAATGCTTAATCAAGATGTCTCCCCTTTCCTCCTTCTCTGCTTAGACTGAAGATATTGAAGAATTAATTCCCAAAGGACTGTCTGAGGCCACCAAGCAGCAGATTCGTTACCTCCTCCAGGTATGGAGTGGGTGGAGGGGCTGGAAGTCTACAGGAACTTGTAGCAGCAGAAGTTGTTTTACACGAGGGACTTTGCACATAACACACTTCACTCTGCATTCCCCTTCATCCATTCTTTCTAGAGTGAAGGGGATGGGATGGCACAGGTGGCGTCAGAGCAGCTGAGCTCAAAGTCCAGAGGTGCATTTTAAACTGAGCTCACTGGTGCTTTTGTGCAGTTTCACTGGGAACCGCCTCAGCTTGTGCCCCGTGGCAGAGCAGAGATCCTTTGTCTGTCTGTGTTGTGTATCAATGCTTTACTTCAAAAGCCCAAGGCAAACAGTAGGTGCTGAAAACACAGAGCAGAGCATTGCAGAGCCTGGGCCTGGAGCAGGCAGGAGTGGGAGGGTGAGGGAGCTACACAACCAGATCAGGAAGACAAAAACCTCTTGGAACCACTACAGAGATGGTTCTGTTTGTTACCAAACGCTGTAGGCACAGCTCAAGGCTGGGTTTGCCATGCAGGACCCAGAAGAGCCTGCACTGCTCAGCAGGTGTGTCCTGATCTAGGGGGATCCTACCTGGAGCTGCAGCTTGGAATCACTTCCTGGTGAAAAGAAAAAGGAGCTGTGAAGGAGCAGCCTGGTCTGAGCTCACAGCTGTTTGCACAGCCAGGAAGGATCCGAGCTGGGAATGCCCAGGCACCCCTGCAAGAACATGGACAATTCCACTGAGAAGTACATGGCACCTCTGGAATTTAGCAACTCCTACCACTAATAGCTGAATGAGGTTTTTCTACTGTTTTTATAGTCTAAATTCAACCATTTTCACTCAGTTCCTTAAACTACTCTGATAGTTTATTTCACAGTAAAACTGACAAAACCACAAGTCAAAATTGAACTTCCACTTTAATTAAAAACCAAACAATAGGTGAGTTACACTGGAAATGAGATTTTTTTTGAGCCTCAGTCACACAGTGAGGATGAAAGACTGGACAAGGGCAGAGTGCTCCTCTCTTGTCACCATGTCCTTTCTCTTCCTTCCAGCCGAGTCACAACTTGAGGAGTTATTTGTGTCCTTCCAAAGTCTATTTTTCTTATTCCCAGTATTAGAAATGTACCATGAAGTGCAGCAAGTTGTGCACAGCAGTTTGCAGGCACTAACATTCACCAGGAGAACAGTGCTGGGCTCTGAGGCACTTCTGCCTTTCTCTTTCATCCTGGTGACTCCTCTAATCTCTGGGATTTTTGCCCTTTTAATGGGAGGAGTTGGTTGACTGGCTTTTTTTAATGTAAATTTTCAAAAAAAGTTAATTAAATCCCTCACCCTCGAGCCCAGAGCTTTGCCAGATCTCCACCATGACTCATTGCTCTGTGGCTGCTTGGGCAGGGTGGTAATTCCTAAAAACCAGAGAAAGCACAAAGCTCTGAATGCTCAGTTATTGTGCAATACGAGCACTTTTGTTTTCCCCTTTGTTGGTGCACAAAGGCAGTTCCTTACTCTCTTGCTCCTTCCATTTTGACCATGCCCTGTGTTCCAAGCAGTAATTGGAAGCTAAGGTATGAGCAGAACAAAGTGGCTGAAAACTGTTAGTGTGCAGAACTTGTGGCACTTCAAAGGCTGCACAGCAGTTTGGAAGTTCTGTTCAGCTGTGCAGCAGTTTCTGTTCTACCTCTTGTCGAGCACACTGCGAACAAAG